GATATGTTAGGGACTCAATATTTGATGACTGCTCGTATTACAAATTTTACTGTTAAGAGGTTTTTGTTTCATATTCTTTTATTTTTCTGACAGTACTGGGTATAGAACCAGGGTCTTCTCAGTAAGTTAGAACACCAGCCCCCTTTATAAAAATTACTTTTTGAGGCACAATTGTGCTAAATTGCTAATTGCCCAGACTAGACTCCTACTTAAAATTTTTCTGCCATTCATATTGTTTCTAAGCTGTCCTAATGGATCACAAGCAATTTCCAAAAGAGAGCTCTTGATAAGTCACCACCACTTTTTGTCATGCGTGTGTAATCAGATGAGTCTGTCGGCTCAAAGCTCAGTTCAGTAGATCAAACATAGAGATACTGATTATTCTTTTAATATGTGTGTGTTGGTTTTTTGCCTGTTTCTGACAGCATCCAGATTCACTTGAACTTTCAATTATATGGTCAGTGTTTTCTTGGGCAATGATCTGAGAATTTGAAAATTAAATTAGATGAACTAAGATAAGAAAGTAGTGTTTTGTAGACAAGGTTAAACTTACATTTTTGTATTCCCTTGTTCTGTGATTTTTTTTATTTTTTTATTTTTTATTTATTTTTTTTTTTTGTGGGGATTGAACTCAGACCCGTGTGCTTGCCAGGGAAGCGTTCATTCTACTGAGCCATCTCCCCAGCCTCACTGTGATTCCTTTTGCTCATAATTTGTATTGAGAAAAAATGGTATGGAAGTTTCTCCCTCATGTCCACATCAAATGAAAATAAAGAGAGAACCTCATCCATATTAGTGGCAAGAGATTTGAAGAAAGGATCAACGTAATACTAGGGGCACCATGATAAAGAATATGATTTTGATACTACTCGGGATGGAATCAAATTCTTTGGGAAAGTAATTTAGGTTGTTTATTTTATTGCCCTTAATTGGATGAAAAATCTTCTCCTAAAACTAAATCCTTGTGTTTTGTACAAAAAGATGGCAATGTATTTACTGTTTCATTGAATTACTTAAGAGTATTTTTTTAACAAAGAGGCAGTTTAATATCCTGAGGTCAAATGTAATGTTATTTTAATATTGGTGACAGGAACCTGAAAATATTTGATTAAAATCAGTGATTGGTAATCATATTAAATATGATAGCTAAGTTAACACTGAGTGTTAATGACAGATTAAATGTTGTATTAAGTATAGGTTAATTTGTCTCATATAACTGTCACGCCAACCCTATGAATATCCTCTATTTAGGATAAAGAAAGGAAGGGTCAGAGATCTCAGGTAAGAGCAATTCAAGTTCATGCTTCAGCAGAGAGCAGGATGAACACTCATGCTAAGGTCAGGCTTCAAAAGAAACTGACCAATAAGTGCTGATTTAAAGATACTTCTAATTATTCAAAAAGACGCAGTTCTGTCCCGTATGAAATATAGTGGTGGCATTCAAAAACTTGCACCAACTGCCTCTAATTCTGCTCACAAACACTGCATATTGAAGCGGTATTCTAAGATAATTATGTGTAAAGCATATGAAGTGGTAGTGACCCAGACCCATCACGGCACTTTCTCTTCTGTGGTTATGCTAGAAGGGAAAGGGATGTTATAAAAGTCAAGAAGACCAGAGTGAAGCTTTTGAAAAACACTGTCTCAGCCTATAAATAATTAACTTTAATAGACTGAGTAAAACAAGAACATTTAAGAATGTAATGTAAGTAAAATTGATTATAGGTCAGCATTTGAAAAGATACTTCAAATTCTGAAGTCTCATGTAAATAAGCCATTCCTTCACATGTTTTGATTTTCATTTACTTTGATTTTATTTTTATGAATCCGCTCATCTGTGTTAATGAATATATTTAGAAGAAAATAATATGCATCACTAGAAAACCCTGAGATGTTTGCTACCAGAAGAAAACATATGTTATGTAGAAGCTGCCCACACTTAAGCTGTGCAGTACCTAGAGCCGCAGATGGAAGAAATGAAAGCAATAGGTTAATGTTTTCAGTGGCAAGATCTATTTCCACACCACATAGTGATACGATTTGGACGTGGTTCAGCTCATTACATCAGTTTGGACAGCTAAATTCAGTGCTCAGGGCTTCCAAAGCAGAAGTCTCTGGTTTGAGTTATTCTGGATTACCTAGATTGACAATAATATTTGGGTAGTTTCATAAGATATTCAAGATAAATCTTTTAGTCTGAGTAATGAAATCAATTTCATCATTCTCCTCAACTTTTAGTTTTTATCTCAGGTATTAAATCAGTTTAAGTGGATGTTGTTTTTTGCCCAGATAACATAGAGAAATCTAGTGCATCCTTTCATCACATATTAAGAGAATAAAAAGGCACTTGTGGTGGGTCCGTCCCCACAGCCACACATCTGGAAGAGTGGGTGGAACACAGCTCAGTTTTAAGTCGTTATCTTTAAAGACACACTGGACTAGAAGTACGATCATGGAAAAAAGGGAACTCTGAGCAGGACAGGAATACAGACCTTCCTAGAGAAAGGCAGTATATTTAAGCACACATGAAACGAATTAAATCTTTTCTTATCTATGGCTCGCGTTTTATCTGAATACCTTTCAGCCTTATCAAGAGACCATCGCTAATATCAACAGTTATAACTGTGCTGTTAGTGTCTTGTTTCTCGAGTTCTGACTTCCAACTCTTCTTTCTCGTTCATATATAGCTATTTTGCAAAGTCTATTTTTAGTGTTCATTTTCTTTAATTCTAATTTTGCTCCTCATAAATATTTCAGATCTTCTGCCTAAAACTAAAACTTTCCACCCTTTTCCTCATAATTCAACAACTATAAAATATAGGCTTATGTTGACAAATAAACCTAGCTACAAGCGTGTTCAGATGAAGAGGGAAAAACAATTCATTCAAGGAAAACTTTATTTTTATCATTTTAATGAATGAATGTAATTAAGTCTTGCTACAAAAAAAAGTGCACATTTCTATGGCTAGGAAATTCTCCACAAATAAAACTCAGCATTCCATAGGCACAGGATAAGCTTGAAGCACTTAAAATTAGACCAGGTCAACAAATTTTATATATTTGTGTACTTCATAATAGAGGAGTGATGCATTAAAGAAACAAAAGAAACAAACCACATTATATCTATATTGATAGATAGATAGATAGATAGATAGATAGATAGATAGATAGATAGATAGATAGATTTTTTTGTGGCACCAGGTATTGAACTCAGGACCTTGTGCTTGCCAGGAAAGTGCTTATTCTACTGAGCTATCTCTCTGGTCCTTACACATGATATATTTGAAGAAATGTTTTAACTGGACCTTTTCTCTTCTGCATCTGTTCTCTTAACTCTTGCTGAAGACGACCAATCATGACACTGCCATGGGACTTTATTGAAAATGAGGGTCTTTATTTCAGTGTTGCAGTTCCTTTGATAGTATTAAGAGTGATGCTAATATTTTTTGTGCAATTTTAAACATTTTTCTTTTCTAACAATATTATCAACATTTTGTACATCAAGCTTGACCTCTGTCTGCCTCTCCTTATTATCCCTGTGAAATCAGGTTAAAGTAATGACTCTCAAATATAAAACGAGCAGTCTTTTGTTGCTTAGCTGGATTTTTTATACCCCCTGCTATGTGACTGTCTTCACCACATTTGATTATCCTTCCCAGAGCCATTAGGTCAAGCCAGGCTTTCATATAAATTTTCACTAATAGCACGCAGTTAATGGGAAGCATACACTGGAAATCCACAAATATTACTTTGGATTGCAGTCATTTCCTGGTTCATCAGAATAGTGGAGCAATGTATAAACTCATACACCTATAGATTAAACAAATGTCTAAAGGAATAATCTAAACTTTGTATTTTAAAATATAGAAAGCCTGGGTACCTAACTTTAATATGCTGGGCACAGGATTTTGTTTTATTCATTTTAAGATAAAGAAGTATAGTGACAATATTAGGTGAAAAATTTAAAGTTTTCAAAGGAGTCTGTGGTTTGAGTAGAGTGGATTATCTAGGATGACCATGTTACTAGCATAATTTAGTAAAATATACAGCATGTGATGTTGATCCTGTGTAGCACCACCTTGCCTATGTGCTTAGACCTAAGATCGAACATTCCCCTTCACTTGACTCAACTCTTTTAAAATATTTTCTGCCCTAAGTCTTCAAGTGAGTGCTGCATGAATTGGGAGTGTGTGTGTGTGTTCTCTTGCACGTGTGTAAGATAGTCCAATACAGACAGCATTAGAGTGAGTAGGAATTCAATCTGAACGGTGGCATCATATATTACACTAACGAAATCCTTTCCAGACATTTATGACTATGAAACTCCACATCTGTCTCTGCTGAACTCTTCTTATATATTTATTTCAGAATGAAAGAACTTCGGTAGAGATGGTATTATTTTTATACCTTATGTATGACTGGAGCAATTAGAGAAAAACGTCAGTCCTCCTGAACAATCCTCCTTGGTTGCTGTGTCTATATGTTTATCAGTTTCCCTGTTCTGAATTTGATAATACCTTTTTCACAATCATTACAACCACAAGTACAGGAAAATTTAAACAAAGAAAGCTTATCTACACAAGATGATGAAAACCACATCATCTGTGTGAGAATCTTACAGGTAAATCTAAAGTGTTCAAATTTATTAACAGCATAGTTTTAGATTTTTCAACTCTACTAAATCCCAGTTTCTGCTTTTGCAGAATAAATACAAAGATACTACTCCTATTCAGATCTTAGCACAAGGTATTAAGATAAAGAACAAGACGGTCAGATTTTTAGTTACTACCATAAAACATAAATCATTTGCCTCTAGGTTCTGGGAAACTACATATTGTCCTTAGTTAAGATTTATCATAAGGAGAGATGAGGAAAAATCATTTCTCCAGTAAAATTAGTGCATACTGTATGGATTGAGAATGTACCTTATTTTCATGCTATTTAACAAAAATGTGGAAACACTTTATGATGCTAACACACCTTGTGTCCTTGCTTTCTAGGAGCCTGAGTTGCCAAAGGATTACACTGCACAAAAATCTGTTTTTCTCATTTGTCTGTAACTCCACCGTGACAATCATTCACTTCACCGCAGTGGCCAACAACCAGGCCTTGGTGGCCACAAATCCTGTAAGTGACACAAACATGAGCCTTTGAAGTTCAAGCGTTAGTGGGGGGAAGACAGGCAGCTGCCTGGCTGGAGCACCTGCGGGCGTGTAATCTTGTAGACACTCATGTGCCCTTTGAGATCTGACAGAGAGCTTGTGTAGCTGTGTGACAATCTAGACAGGTAAAATGTCTTAACTTTTCCTAAGATATAAAGTCAAAAGCAAAAGGCAAAATATGTTTCTTTGTTTCTGTTATTCATGTACTGCATGTATCTCCACTGTACTAGGGCTGGAGAGAACCAGCTGGAGGGACGTAGGGCTTGTGGCTATGTGATATTTACTTGATCCAATTTCAAAGGCCAATCAGAGCAACTAACTGTCAAGAGAAGAAAAATCACTCTGTGGAAATGCACATTTCAAGTTACTTTTTTGGTACCAGGCTAACTGCAAAGATGGATCAAACAAGGAAATCAAGAAATATGCACTTGCTAAGTCATGTTAAACATCACTAAAATAAAATGTTAGGTAGACCCCCCCCACTGTTTCAATGCGCATTTATAAATTGTTGTTTTAGGAGCCATACTTTAAAAATATGTCAAAATTTACTTGTACGTTTGCATATATTAGAAGCAAGCTCTATGCATGCTTTCAAACCTGTGTTTGAATTAAAATATCTGTACTTGAAACAAACATAAGTAACTTTAAAAAATCGTATTCATAATGTTTGTAGTATATATAACATAGTTTTGCCGAGTGTGTATGTGTGTATATGTGTGTGTGTGTGTGTGTGTGTGTGTAAAGTGTTTTTAAGAGATTAAATTATCAATTTACAGCAATCAGAGAAGGGAAGGAGTTTTCACCCAATGGGTCAATAAACAACACTCCCATATTTGTTTTATGTGTGTTTTTAGGGTAATTTCCAAAGTTCTAAAATTCCCTCTATTGTTTGTACATGTGCATCCGGATTGTTTAATCTCGTAGGTTCCAGTCTGGAGTCATGGGGCTAGGAAACACACTGGGGTATAATTAGCAATAGAAAAACCGGCTGACATCCTGTCATAATGAGTGTACTTCTCTGGGCAGGAGATTCAGATTTGTCACAGAGCTGTAGAGCAAGAGTTTCAAAATGTTGTGTTTTTGCAGAAAGTTTGAGCTGTAGCTATTTTAGAAATTTCGTAGAAAAATGTACTGCTTGTCTTGCCAATGCCCTGAAAAAAATATATTTTTAAATTGTGCTCTAATTTCTTTTTTATTGTGACATTGTGTAGGTTGCATTTTAATGAAGTCAGGAATTAATACACCAACTACACATGTATATCTAAAAATATACACATAAAAGTTTGAAGCTCAAGTTTATCACTTCTGTATATATTTTTGAATGAATAATTTTTATCTTTGGGATGATTTTAATATAATACTGTATTTCACATAGAGATGCATTGTTTAAAATTAAATGTTACACATTCTTGACATATATGTAAAGAAATAGTTTTATAAAATCATTAAAGCAGGAGGATTGTGTATGCGGTAGAAGTAAACTTGAGCTTATAAGATTTGTGCTTAGTGTGCACTTTTGATTGATTTATAAATAGAAGGAAATCATCTTTCTTTTTCATGGTTAGCTTTACCCATAAAATGCATGGCTATTTATAATACTGCACAGAATTATTTTAAGAATTAAATAACACAATATAAGTAAGATTTTAATCTAACTCCCATTTAAGTGCTATTAATATTCTGAGATAACACAATCTTTTTTGCAATCCTCCTCACTTAAAATTTTCTGTTTACTGAAAAAGAAATGTTATTTCAAAAACAGTTATGAGGGCCAGGGAGATAACTCAGTGGAATAAATGCTTGCCTGGCAAGTGCAGGGTCCTGAGTTTGATCTCTGATACCACACACACACACACACACACACACACACACACACACACACAAAGATGATTTCTACCACAAATGTGTTGAATGTTAGATTGAAAATTGGAGCATGTGGGAATAGTTTGCTATGTATTTCTGGAGGAGCTTTGAATTATTCCTGCTAAGGGAGTACACTCGCTCTCACTCCTTTGTATTTTCAGTACGCAATGTGTGAGCTTCCCTCTTCTTGATTCAATATAGTAAAGAAAGTGAAGACCTCAGAAAAAGAGGAAGAAATACTACGTTCTTTCTCCTTTACTGCCACAGGAAACCCTCCTATTCTCTATTGGATAGGATAACACCCTGGCCTGTTAGATCATCATTTAATAAGTATTTGCTAATAGTAGCATGCAGTAGGCAAAACTTTCCATGGGAACTTGAATGATTTATTTCTAGAATTATTATGACTTTTTCCTAATGGAATGTAACAGCCAAAGGATATATAATTAAAATAGAGTTAAAATTATGCATGCATGAAATGTTTTTATTCATAATCACCTAATGATCAGAACAATTTAGTAAAGTATATATTCAGTAAGTGAGGAGGATTTTAAGTTTGAAGAATTTTCTGGAATACCCACTTTTATAACCCTTACAACTGAAATCACCTCAGGTACCACTAGATGAGTGGATAAAAACTGGCATTTTACACATCGACATCATTAGTGAACATATTTGTTGGAGAAAACAGATAATCCCATATTTTCCTGAAATTAGACTAGCAGTTCATATAGAAATGAAGACAGACTAACTTTGCACTCTCTCTCCTCGCAGGTCAGCTGTAAAGTGTCCCAGTTCATTCACCTCTACCTTCTGGGCTGCAACTACTTCTGGATGCTGTGCGAGGGCATCTACCTGCACACGCTCATCGTAGTGGCCGTGTTCGCTGAGAAGCAGCACTTGGTGTGGTATTATTTTCTTGGCTGGGGTAAGCGCCATTCTGCACATCTGCTGAGTCAAATGAACAAGAAAGCTTTTAGAGGATGTGAGGTGTCTGGTAATAAAAATGTATGATTATCCACTGATTGAAAGACAGATAGTGAGGTTAAGCTTAACAGCCTAAGTTGTATGGTAATAACAATAAACTTGTCTTCTGGATGGTTA